ACAATCTCTTCCATGACCATCCATAGCAGAACTGGAAGGAATCTGGAGGAAGGCAGAAGCAAGACAACCAACTGCAGCGGCTGTTGAGGAAGCTAAAAGCTTGTTTATTTTGGAAAGCAATGAAGCTTATTGTTGCGTTAGGATTGTGTCTGATGTTCCATAATTCTGTTGCATTCAAAAAATTGAGGGAGAGGGAAAGAAATCCAAGGGCTGACAGAGAAAAAAAGGAGAATGGCGAAAAAAAGGGGGAGAAGAAACCGAGAGAAAAAATGCAGAAACAGAGGAGAAATAGCGGAGAGGAAGATACAAGGAGGCGTGGAATAAAGAGGAGAGCAAGAAAATCTTGTATTCTTGAAGTCTTCCTCCGAGTAAATTAGATTAGATTGCTCTATTTCAGGTGCATTTTTTATCTGAGAATATGGAAGAATTTGGAGTTTGAATCTCAATTGCTTGTAGCTGTTTTTCTTTTTCCTCGTTTCTTTTGTTTCTTGGTTGCTATATGAATCTGTTTCTTTACATGGTTGTGTCCACAAATAATCTTAAGAAAATTTTTATTGGTCTAATCTTGTTGCATACATATTTTCTTTCTTCATTTGTTTTTCTCCTATTCTATTCATCACCTTGTTTCATGGCTGTTCTTTTTTCTATTTAATTAGAGTAATTAAACAAAACCGATTACCATCATTTTAAGTTTAGTCACTATTTTTGTTCCCTTGAACTTGGGTATCATTTAGAAGTTCTTGCTTGGATGATGACATCTACAAAAGGAATGTTAATATGTAACTTCTCTAAAACTTCAACAAATTTAGCAAATTGCTTATCTAGTTTATGTTGCTTCAATCTTTGAGGAAAGGGAATTAGAGGCATGTAAGGCTTCACTTCTTTGGGTTTGGGTGGCTCTTGAATTTCATTTTCTTTCTCTTGCTCTTCTGAATCTTTCTCTATGCCTTCTTCCTCACCAATTTGTTTCCCACTTCTCAAATTTATGGCTTTTACATGTTCTTTGGGATTTATTTCTATGTTGCTAGGTAGAGCACCTTAGTTTCTTCTAGAAGTTACATTTGCCAATTGATCCAACTAAACTTCTAAATTTTGAATTGATGCACCTTGGTTCTCAACTGATGCTTTTAAACTCTTGGTTGCTTTTTCTTGATTTTGAAATGTTGATTCACTAACAATAATGAACTTTTTTAGCAAGTCCTCCAAATCTTCTTTTCTTTTTATTTTCAGGTGGTTGCTAAAAGCCTTGAGGTTGCTTTACCACATTCTAATTGTTACTCCATGAAAAATTTGAATGATTTTTCCAACTAGGATTGTAAGTGTTGGAACAGGGAATATTTTGTTGCCTGTTAAAATTACCAACAAAATTAGCATTTTCATATGATTGAGTAAAGGAATTACTTAACTAACATCAGTACTTGCATATTCTCCTCCACACTAGTCACAAGTGACATTTTGGACATGCATGGCAGAAACATTCAATTTATTGAATTTCTTATAGAGGGCCTTCACTTGAGTTGTTAGGACTTTGAGAGTGTCGACTTCATGTATTCCAAAACTTCTTTTAATTGGTGTTCTTTCAAATTTCCATTAGTAATTATTTGAAGTCATCTCCTATATTCGTTTATAAGCTTCCTCAATAATTGTATTCATTAATGATCCACCTGTAGCTACATCGATCATGGTACGAGTATTTGGGAATAAACCATTGTAAAAAGTTTGTACCTATTACCATATAGGTAGACCATGATGTGGGCACTTCCTAAGTGGCTCTTTGTATCTCTCCCATACCTCATATAATGACTCCATGTCAAACTACATAAAAGTAGTAATATCGTTACGTATCTTGGTAGTTTCAGAAAGAGGAAAGTACTTGCCAAGAAATTTGCTTGTCATCTTTTCCCAAGTAGTCATTGAGTCCAAAGGTAATGAGTAAAACCAATTATTTGCTCTATCTCTTAATGAGAAAGAGAAGAGTCTCAATCTTTTTGCATCTTCCAAAACTCCATTATACTTGAATGCGTCACAAATTTCTAAAAATTTGGTAAGATGTTCATTTGGATCTTCATTTAGCAATCCAGTATATTGAATTAATTGTTGAATCATCTGAGTGTAAGTTGGCTTGATTTCAAAGTTAGCTTGTATTGCTGGTTTCATTATACATGAGACCGCACCGTCCATCAAAGGTGATCCATACTCTCTCAAGGTTCTTGCAACAACTTCTACCATCTTGTGAGGTTGATTGACAACTAAAGCTTCCTTTTTTTTATTCAAAAGATGAAAAGTTTGGCCTATCTCAGGATTTAATGGTGCAAGTTCTATGTTTTCAAAATGTGTCATGCACTAACTTGCACACTTAAAAACAAATAAAAGGAAAAAAAATCAAATTAAAACTAGAATTAATATGTTTTGATATTAATTAGAATCAATCCAATCCTCGACAACGAAGCCAAAAACTTGATGAGCTAAATTCACTCTAACAAGAGTAATAATCAATTCAAGTAATATAATGATAAAAATATAATATCGTTCTACAAAGACTGTAGACTAATTCAATATCAAAATTAACTAATTATAATTTTATTTGAACAATTGAAATTAAATAATTTGAATAAAGTAATTAACTAAAACAATTAAAGAAAACTAAATTAACTTTGAATAACACCGAGTTACAATTTCAAAGCATTCGATTTTATTATAATTAATTAATATAGAATTTAAATTAGTATATTTCTAAGGTATTGATCATTCATGTAACAGTGAAATTGCTTATTCTATTCGATACATTTTCTCAATTTATACCAAAACTATTTTCACTTATTAACTCACTATATAAATACTAGGGAATTTACTATTCCTTGTACTATTGGAGATTGTCATTTTTGGGAAAGCTTTATGTGATTTGGGAGTTAATATTAATTTGATGCCTTTTTCCATATTCAAGAAATTGGGATTAAGAGAACCAAAGGCAAGCACATTATCTCTTCAACTTGCAAATCAATCTATCAAATATCTAGGGGGTATAACTGAAGATATATTAATAAAGGTGGAAAATTTTATTTTTCTTGCAGATTTTATGGTTATAGATATGGAGGAAGACTTAGAGGTACATCTTATCTTAGGTCATCCTTTTTTAGCAGCTGGTAATAAAGCAACCATCAAGTAGCAAACTTTTCTCAAATTCTTCTTTGGCCACATCCGTATTGTCTCTCTCGTCATAAACATCCTTTCCCTCGTAACATTCTCTAACCTTGCTATGCACATTTTTGATGGCTTCTTCCAACTGTCTCTTCTTTGTTGCTAAATCTGGGAAACAATTAATGAGTCCTTCAAGAAAGGACTCTTTCATTTTTTATCCCATGCACAACAGTTGTGTTTTATTGAAATGCCTAGGACCAATTGAAAATTTATAGGGCGTATAAGCCTAATCATTATGCATTGATGAGAAACATTTTATATGATTTAATCTATTATTTTAACCATAATTTTATTACTATTTGCAAAGATAATATATGATTTTTAATATATTTTACATAATTTTCATTTTGTGTAGAAAAAGACTTCAATGCATAATAATTAGAGTTTTTAAGATTAATTGAATATTTTTTGAAAGTCAAGGGACTGAATTGTGAGAAGAAAAGTTCCTTTTTGGAGAACAAATTGAATGAATCTTAAGTTATGGGAACAAAGTGTTTATTGTATAAAAGTTGGAGGACCAGATTTGCTAGTTTACAATCAAAGAAGTTGCAAAAAGAGGCAGAAACCCGTCACAGGTATGGTGTCGATATATATGTCGTGGTGTCAGCACTATTCATTAAGCGCGTCTAGCATTTGAATTTCCTGCTTTGTCCTACATTTCTAATAGAATTTCTTAAACTCTATAAATATCTATTTAAAAATCAAATTAAGGGTTTTCGAGGGAAATCAAGAAAGAGACGGTTAAGAGCAATTCAACATTAAAAAATAATTTAGATTTGAGATTTTATATATCGAATTGGTTTTATTTGTTCTTAAATTTTATTTTATAATGTCGGATGCTCTTATATTCATCATGGAACCTTTGATTCTCTTTTCTTGAATTATAAATTGATTTAATTATTTAAAACTACAATGTAGCATAGTTAATTTAATATAGAATTTCATATTTTTTATACTTTAAAAGTTTATTATTTTATATAGAGTATATATTATTGTTCTTAATATTTTTTAATGATTGACCAATGTGATTGGTGTGGCATTAGTGATAAGTAGACTTAATTTTTTATGTAAATAGAAAATGTCATAGAATATAATGTATTTTTATCTATTTAAATTCACATAGATATATAATGAGTTAATAGATAAAGATATGTTTGATATTGTTATCCAAAAAAATCTCCCTAACACATGGTAAGTAAATCGGCATGCCACTTGCTTTGCTTAAACAAAAAAGATTTCTTCAATAACTCTTTTCTTTCCAAACGTAAAACTCAGTCATGAATTAATGGAATTGATGGAAGAACGTTGTAAATTGTGCCTTAATAATTAAACGATTGGTAAAAACAAAGGATGAACTTCATATACTAAATGGGTTAAACAACAAAATACTTTGAATATGACTACAAGGACTCCTTCAAACTAATGTAATAAAAAAAAACTAAGACTGTAAGAAAAGTAAATGATCATTAAATTATTGAAACTCTAAATGAATTTTAAATATGTAAATTAGGTTGAAACAGAACTCTAAAAAGGAAATTTAAATGTAAAAAAAAAAAAAAAAAAATAAACCACAACTCATCCATTAGGGTAACATAGGGGTTTAAAAGCTTGTTGTACATATTAAAAGCACAATTGGGATTCTTACGAAAGTAAGTTAGGTTTATTTTTTGTCCTTTTATTTTGCCTAAAAACTAGCAAAACTTAAGTTTGAGAGAATTTGATGAGAAGCATTTTCTATGCTTTAGTCTACTACATTTGTCTTGATTTTATTACTATATGCAAGGATTATATGTGATTTTTAATAAACTTTATGTAATTTTCTCTTCTTTTTTTTTTTTTGTAAAAAAAGACTTAAATACATAATAATAAGAGTTTTTGCAATTAATTGAATATATTTTTAAAGTTGAGGGATTGAAGTGCCAAAAGAAAGGAGCTTTTTTGGGACCTAAATGAATGAATCTCAAGTTACAAGATCAAAGTACTCATTATATGAGAATCTGGAGGACCAGATCTGCAATTTTAGCATTCAAGAAATTGCAAAAGAAACCAAAAACCCGACATGTGTGGTGTGGGCACGTAAGTCATGGTGTCAGCACCGTGTGTTAAGCATCTCGAATTGAAGTTTTTGTTTTATCTAAGTCCTATTTTTTTCACTTTTCTAATAGAATTTCTTAATCTCAATAAATATTTATCCAAAAATCAGATTTAATACTTTT